GAGAGAGAGAGAGAGCTTTAAAGTCTACAGGTGCAGTTTCATACATGAGAAAAGCTTTTATGGTCTAACTTCTGCTTAAATATTCGGCCTCAAACAGCTTCTTCTTCTTCATTCCTATAGATGTAGTTCTGATTGTGCAGTAAGATGGCGTTAACTTCCATACATGTTCAGTACAATAGATATACAGTGACAGAGCAACACGAGTATCAAAGAGCAGAAAATCTGAACGAGAAGCAAGCAACCTTCATGTCTCCACTTCCTGTCTGCGGTACGTGACGCATCTACCGTTTAACATTAAAGTGTTTATTATTATTATACATATCGATCTGCAGTATCTGTTTATCCAAAGGAAAAGGTTAAAAAATGAAGAGTTGTAGTTTCTGTGAGTGTTTTCAGGCGGCGCTCTGAAGCCTGACGAAGCATGCAAGTGGACATTTCTACATCGCAGCCCTCCTCGAAGGTGATTGGCTGTCTAGAAGACAAACAGGAAATGGTTGCAGAGGACAAAAACAGTCAAATAATAATAGAACAAAATGCACTATTGGTCCAATTTCTCAACGGCAGAGGAAGAATGTAGGCTGTCTCTTAGGACGCCCTCACAAAATTGAGGCAATAACTCAGACCCGAAAAAAGTAGAAAAACAACAAAACGTAAGAAAACTGAAACAATGTAGAAAAGAACGAGTGTGTGGTCCCTGCTGACGTCACCAAGAGAGAGCGAGAAGGGCGGCGACAGGTTGTGATGTAACAGCGGGTCATCATCGACGGATCGACGAACGCTTGTTAGCGGTTACATCGCCACGTATGAACCAAAATGGCCGCCGCTCTCGCTCTCAGGCACAGTGTTTGCGTTCGCCTCGTCGCCCGACCAGACGACCACGTGAAGAAAACACGAGAAACAAACAAAAACTGCTTTGAGAATAAACACAAAAACAACCTTAACGCCTCACTTTGGTGAGACCGCTTCAGCTCGCCGACCTCCGTCAGCGGCGGGAAGTTTGAGCCTTCACAAGGTTCAAAACCTGATTTCAAACATTTAAACGTTAACGGAAATATTTCCAAATATTAACGTTATCGCTAGCGAAATACTAACTGAGTGGAAATGTTTGTAGGCTAACGTTAGCTTCGCCAGCTAACATGATCCATGACACGAACATGTATTCTGACAAATGTGATTTTAGCCAACAATAAATGATGTAGCGGTACAAAGCTAAGGCGTAAAGCTAACAATTTGTCCGCATTAGCAAGCTAACATTAGCTAAATGGTACACACTGGATCTGTAGCTACAGCTAGCAAACATATCTGTATATATAAAAGTTGAATGTAGCATATACAAGTTTCTGTTTCTATTACATCTTGAATATTTCTATTTCCTGTGTATATAATAATAATAATAATAATAATAATAATAACCTTGGTTGTGACATTTTACACTTTTTTCGGACCCTTTTAGAGTTAATGATGAAAATAACGATTTGTTCAAAACCTGATTTTAAAATTTCCAGATTTAGAGATAAAACATTAGCGGCTGCAATATTTTACACCAAATTTAGCGACGCCACTCACAGGTTGTGGATTCGGCAGTTTGGGCAGTTTGGGGTTCATTTGGTGTTTGTAGCACTGGGGTCTGCTGGGAGGGGACGGAGGTCTCCTGGAGCTCTGAAGCACATTCCAGTTCTTTCAGCTGAAGGCAGGAAATTAGAAATTAAGTATTTTTAAAGAAGCTAACTGCGAGTTTTCTTACGTCAGAGCGCGTCAGGATGCGGCTGAAGCGGTTTCACCAAAGCCTGTTTGATTTTCTACTGTTTCTTCTTGCTGAACAAACTGAAGCGTTTCTCTTTGTCCTTCTCTTTGTCCTTCTCTCTCTTGCCGGGACTTGACTCGGTGGTGAGTGTGACGGCAGCCGGCAGCGTCTGAGCGCGCCCAGACACCGGCGTGCCGGGGTTGCTGCCCTGCACGTCGGAGCGGTCGGCGTTCAGGATGGTCTGGATCCAGGTGCTCATCTCCTCCTGCGGGTCAGAGGTCATTCAGTGAGTAACTAATGGTGGATCTGAACTACGACTCAAACTTTATCTTCATTTGAGGTGAAACTTACTTCATCTTTGGCTTGGAACAGATACTCGTTTCCATCAGTGAGTCTGAAACACAGGATCAGCGTCACCATGGTAACCAAATTACATCACTCCAGGAGTCAGCAGACTCTCCATTAATTTATAAATGTGAAAATGACAACTTATTAAATTAGCTTCTGTATTTATTGACTTCATTTCATTTATTAATTTCTTCTGTTTTTAAATGTTATTGTTTAATTTATTTCTGTATTTCTGTCTGAAAGAGAAATTTCTGTCCACATGGGTGGACTTCATGATCGTACTCTCCGTTTGCTAGCATAAGATAATTTAAGATGTGACTATATATATGTATTAGGCGTTTAAATCCTCTGATCAGACGTGATGTTTGGGGCCGTTAGACGAAACCTCAAGATTATGAGACATTTTGATCGTCAACCAATCTGAGTTCATTCAAGTACAACAAGGGCCAACATTTGACATTAAATTCAAAATTAGCGACTTCCTTTGACATTTTGAGTTTATTGTGCAACTGTGGAGCCATTTTTGCAGTTTTCACTCATATTTTAACGAACTCAGATACTCGATTCCGCCGAACAGCGTGTCCGCGGCATGGCGTCGAATTTCGATGTACTGCCATGAAACAGGACGTTGAGTGTGTGTCCCTGAACACATCTACACGCCAATATTCAGCCATAGTCATAGTGCCCCCTACTGGACACAGGAGAATCGTGTTTTCTGGCTGAATTTTAAATAAATTTTAAATCCTTCTTACCTCAGTTTGAAGACATGTTTCTTCTTCTTGTAGTCTGAGGCGACGTCACACGTGGCCTCCTTCAGGCTGATGGGTAATTCGCTGTGGTACGGGACTCCCTGGGCCGCCGCCTTGCTGTCTTTATAGAAACCCATCTCCTGGTTGTTGATGACGCAGTACACGTTGTGCCACGATCTGCCAATCACAGAGCAGCAGGATGAGCAGCGAACAGAGAGGAGTGAGACATCTCGTGCAGCAGAGGATCTTTGTGGTTACCTGTTGGACGCCTTCTTGTTGTGCCCCTCCCACTCGTGTTTGCGGTGCAGGAGTCCTTCCAGCTGCGAGGACGAGTCCTGGTTCTTGGAGGGCAGCGTGGACGACTGGCTGGTCTTACTCTTCCTGCCGGAGGTCGGCGAGGTGCCGGGGCTTGGCTCCTTAGAGCTCCGCTCGGCCACGCCGTTCACCAGATCCCCGCCGTCCACGCCGTCCTGATCGAGGAGAAATTCAAATAAGAGGTGGTCTTCAGTTTCATCTTAAATCCGGTTGTTGGTTTTGTTAACATTAGCTAAATTAAGATGTGACTATATTTATGTCTCTTTTATCTTTTAAACATCTTCAGAATATGGTTGCAGATTAGCTTAGCACATAGCTTATCTTAGGACAGCAAAGTGGACCGAGGTTCTCAACTGTGACTGGAACACAGGGCAAAAGGGGGCGGGGCTTAGGAAGGGTAAAAGACGCCTGATCGATTATCGAACCGATCAACAACGTGTCTGTCAGACGAACATCAGTGTACTGACCCGAGGAGTGTCCTGGTCTGAGGGGAGTCCGTTCTGGGTGATGACTCCACTGCAGAGAGAGAAACACAGTTAGTGACTCAGTTCCTCTGACGTCCACCAGGTGCTGCTGTGATCTAACTCACCTCTGCTGCTGAGTCTCCTCCTGCTGAATGACGGGCGGCTCTGGAGACGGCGGCTTCCTCATCCTCTCCTCTTCCTCCTGCTGCCTCCTCACCTCCAGCAGCTCCAGCTGGAACAGAAGACAGATTAAACTTTTAATCTCAGAATGATGTGAAATGTCCATCAGTCGCTGTATGAAGCTTTAAATGTGAACCGGACTAGTTTGTCGCCCTCTGCTCACCGTAGTCAGCCTCTCCAGAGCCGAGAAGCGTTCCTCCCAGGTGGCGGCCGACTTCTCGAAGGCCTCGTGGCGTTTGATGAGTTTCTCCACCTCGTCCACGCTCTGACCCATCTCCCTGCTGGACAGGTAGGGCTCCTGACCCAGCAGCCAGGCCTCGGCTACGCCCGCATCCCTCGAGAACTGGTGCACCTCCAGGACTGGGGGGGGGGAGTAGAGTCACACATCTATAGCAACACTGCTAACACTGCTAACAACAACACTGGTTGTTTTCTCATGAAACTGAACACTTCCTGCACTGTCAAAATAAAAGCTTTCCTTTTCTATTACATTTTTAAAACACATCAGCTTTTATTGTATAATTTACTGTCAGTTGTCTTATTGTCTTTATTATTTATAATAAAGACGCAGACTTCACTAGTGTGCTTTTACTTTCTGTCGATATTTCTGTCTATTTTTTGACCTTCGAGCCGATCCTTGAGTGTTGTAGCTAAGCTAGCAGCTTTAAATGTTTCTGCAGTTTTGTTGTTCAGGATGTTAATTTTAGTTGTTGGATGTAAATGTGCTGCTTTAATTGTTTTGTGACGCCACAGTCCGTCTGTCCCGATGAGCTTGTGTGACTAAACCGCCTGCAGCGTTTCCTGATTGGTCGGCGCCGGCGGTCTGAGAAGACGCTCCGTCAGCCTAGTTTAAAGGACGGTGAGAGCCTGAGGTGTCTTCATCAAAGCTGACTCATCGCTGCAGCGTACAATCAGCCTGACTGCTGCGGGTTCTCTGTGACCTTTGACCCGAGGGTTCATACAGAACTGTGAGAGTAAAAAAACAGAGGATGAATCTTACTGAGTCGTAGCCACTCCCATCGATCCTCCCACTTGTCAATCATCTCTTTCCTCTTGTCCGTCAGCTGCAGCAACTTCTCTTTAATCTGCACACAGATAAACACCACAGTTTGAATTTTCTGTTAGCATGACATCATAACCTGGAGCGGTTAGCTTTAGCCTCAGTTTGTTAGCTGTTGTCCAGTTTGAAGCCAATTTTTTACCATCCACTGGAACCGGATGATTTTAGTCATCCTGGATCTCCTCACCTCCTCTGAAGCGTAGTGTTTTCTGGCCAGCAGGGACTTCCCTAGCTCGATGCAGGCTGTGAAGCTGTCGTTTCGGGCGTCGATCTCGGCCTTGATGCCCTGATGGTTGTTCATCAGCAGCTCCACTGACGACACGTCTCTGAACACACGAGGAAACACACGTTTATCACAGCTGATTATCAGAGCAGGTGAAGTCCAGCAGAGGGCAGCAGACTCTGCGTACCTGGGGTTCTCCTGGGCCTCGATGAGCCGGATCACGTCGTCCATCCACAACATCAGGTCTCGGACCATGCTGAAGAACCTGAACTTGTCTCCGGTGTCGAGGAGGCGGAGCCTGCGTCCGTCACAGGCCTCCAGCAGACTCCTCCAGGCCTCCAACACCTCGCTCTCCCTCCGCTGGATGTCGTCAGCTTTATCTCCGGCGTAAGCTGACTGGAGGCGCACTGCGTCCTCTTGCAGCTGCCTCACCTGCACACACACACAAAGGTCAAGGGTCAAAGCTCATTTAAACTCACTCTGTGTCCCCATAAAGCCACTGTGTCCCCATAAAGCAGGTGAGATGTCACTGACCTGTGTTCCCAGGGCCTGGATGTCGTGTTCGAAGGTGGTGTGCATCCTCTGCAGCGTCTCCACCGTGTTCTGGTCGCGGCCAACCTCCTCCGGCAGCTTCTTCTGTTTGTCCAGGATGCGTCCCAGGATCTCCTTGGCGTCATGGTAAAACTTGTGGAGCTCGAAGGAGGCGGCGAGGATCTGCGTCCTGGTGTCAATGAGCTCCAGCAGGTCGGCCCAGGCCTCATTCAGTCCGTCCTTCCACTCTGCCACCGTTGCTGCGTCACCGTGACCGGTGTTGATCAGCTCGTCTGCCATGCGGTTGACGGCATCCACACGCTCCTGACCGATGTTCCCGGTGTCCCGAGCGAACTCCCGGAAACGCTCCTGCAACATCTGAGCAAGGAGCACAAAGGTCAGATAATAGTATTAATATAATAATACAGTCAGTTGTATCGGTATAATAACAGTACTAATGTAATAAAGCTATTACTACTGCAAAGCTTGTGAAATGTATTGAGCTAATGTTAGCTTGCTTGCTAATGCGAACAAATTGCTATCTAGTTAACGTAGAAACATTGTTAGCTATACACCTTAGCTTTGTACCATTACATAATTTATTGTTGGTTAAAAACATGGTTTGTCACAATACATAAGTTAACATTCAGACAGTATATTGCTAGTGATAATGTTAGCGAGCAGGCAAGCTAACGTTGTAGCGGTACAAAGCTAACGGTTGCTTTCTACTAGCCCTGAGTGCCGCAGCGTGTTTGTGGCGTAGGAACATTACAGATATGTAGTATCAGTACTCGCAGTAACGTACAGTAACATGCTCGTAGTCCTGTCCCAGCTCGTGCGACCCGGCCACCACCTCCCGTTCAGCGATCCACTGCTCGAGGTCATCGACCTCTCGGTTCAGCTGGAAGAGTCGCAGCCTCTCATCCAGTTTGCCCCGCCTCTCCTCCGACAGGTCCTTCAGGCCGGCGTACAGCTTATCCACCTGAGACTGACGCATACTGATGCGCTCACTGACACACACACACACACACACACACACAGAGTCCTGTTACTATGACAACAACTGGTTCAGTTTACGGTGCTGGATCCAGGTCTACTGGGTCTCAGGTCTACTGGGTCTATATTAAAAGCACCTCTCAGGGTGTCCGTCAGCCACCAGTCCCCTGCTGGTCTTGGACAGTTGGTGGACGGTCTCAGCATAATCCTCCACCGCCTGCTCCACGATCTGATGCTTCTTCTGCATGGTGACAGCGCTCAGCTCGTCCTGACCAACACAACAACATTCTTATATTTAAGTGTTCAATTCAGTTTTATTTGTATAGCACCGATTCATAACAGAGTTATCTCAGGACACTTTTCAAATAGAGCAGGTCTAGACCGAACTCCTTGTAACATTATTTACAGAGA